CTCCCCCCCCCCCCCCCCAATCTGTTCTTTGCTTTCAAAATGTTTGGCTTTTTTTTTTTGCCTTTTTTTTTTTTTTACGTGGCTTCTGTCAATAAAGCCTAAGTAGTTCTGGGGAATTTGTCATTTGATTTCTTGTATGTTATGACCACTAAAAGTAGGTTTTCAGCCCAAGGCTGTCTGCCTTGAAAGGAGGTTAAACATGCAGACAGAAATTTTTAGGGAGATAGTAAGCATGGCAAAACTACATTTGTGTGATCTGTTTTCCTCCTTCTACCTTCTCTCTGTCATCTTCCTCAGGAAGATTGCTCTGTTACATTCAGAGAGGGAGCGGAAGGGGGACCAGCAGTGACTTTTTTACTGTGCCTGGCAAAAGTGGGTTTGTAGCAATAGGAGGAAAAAAGAAAAAAAGCAATTGGAAAACCTAAATTTCCTGTAGGTACTGAATTCCCAGGGAGATCAAGAGAAGGACATAGCCAGTTATGGCAAAAGCATTAGATTTCCCTATTCTGCAGGAAACTATTTTATATGTACCATCTATTTTACTGCTCTGCTAGGATACATCCAGAGGCTTGTGTGAATTTTGCCTGCTGGGTAGATGCCTGGTATTTTGGTACCTTTTGGTACCCCTCTAAAAATAAAATGCTATATAGTTAAACTATATTCCCCGCCTTCACCCGAACTGACTTCATGAAAGTAAGTTTGCAAGTTGTAATGAACTAGCCACTATTTCTGTACTGTACTTTCACTTTGAGCCTGTTTTCTTTTTCCAGTTCTTCTGCAGTTTCTTAGTGGCTTTGGTTCTTGGCTGTAGCTACGGGTAGCTTAGGGCCTTGGGAAGGGAAGCTCTGAGCATATGTGTCTGTATAACACTTCGGAGAAGTAGAAAGTCATGGTTTAATTTTAACTCTTGGCAGGTCGCTTTAATTTTTCCAAACATGTTGGGTATTTTCTGGGATCTGAAATTAAAAGAGAAAACCCTTCTTTTGCTTCACTGCTGCAAACTCAGCATACATAGTTTTGACAGCTAAAATTATTTTGTTGTGAACATCACTCTGTGAAACCCTTCTGAAAAATGGTTATCGCATAGTGGCGATCAAGAGCTCACATGGGCTTTAGAGTACACAAGGATCTGCTTTGTTCCTTAGACTATAGTTTGCGTTGGCACTAAACTGACATTTATTAACGTTTTCAGAAATCCCACTCAGTTTGCATGAGCTGAATTTCACGCTTCTATGGGGGAAGATGGTAGTGGTATTGCATTACCTCTGGGGTACTACAGTCTGTCCTGTATTCACACTTGAGCCTTCCATCTTTTCTCTGTTAAGGAGGCTCTGGTTGGGGAGAACAGCCCAGAGGCTTTTAATTCTTCTGTTGAACCTGCTTGATGTGGGACAAAACTGGACAAGATATAAAAAGATGACCTGAGACTGGTACGGAAGGATGGGTTTTATTTTGTAGAGAAAACTCATAGTGGTAATCAGTAGAAGAGAAGCGATAGAGCATCTAACAGTCAAATACCTTGGGAGAAAACCCCTCCACAAGGAATGGCTTTCCCTGGCCAAGAAAGACTGTGTTAAAAAAATCACCTGTAGAATTGGCCTTCCTTGGGGCCCGCTGTGTTGTTATACTGCAGTATTTGGCTTGCATATTTGCTATGCAACGTGCTTGAAAAGCATTAATGTTGCGCTGCATATACTTTGTCCTACAGTTAGGTATTTTGGAGATGGAACAAATAAAACACTATATTTATAACGTGGAAGCTTGCGAGACAAAAGCTTTTCCTACATTTTATTTATGCAACAATACATTCTCAGAATATTGTAATATCTTGAACTTTGTGTATGTCCAGGAGCAAGAGACCCAGATTTCTTTACACAGCTATAATATAAATGAGTTTTCGTATACTCTGAAGCTCCCTTCTGTCAGTAGGTTGATGTAATTTGACCCTGGTGCCTGTGGGAGTAGGGATCAATTCTGTCAAAAATGTCATTCATTTAGGATGCAAGCGAATCCCACCACCCCAAACTCAACCACAGACAGCCCTTCCAGTTGACTTGGCTGGGTGTTGGAACAGCATTTTGCAAAGTGTTAGCTATGACTTTCATCCTGTTATCGTGCCATAACATGAGATTGTTCTTGCCCTTGGAGTTCATGCTTTCACGGTGGGGAAATGGCATGTCTTCTGCTGGAGGAGACTGGTGTGAATTCCTGTCTTGCCTCTTGTGCTGTGCTGTATAGGTGATACCTTTTTGTGCCATAGCTTGCTCAGGTAGCAAAGCAGGTTTGGCTGACTGGCTTGCTTGGCTCTTTTCTGGCTTTTTTTCCTCCCTTCTATAGATGTTGATCTCTTCCCGGAATAATGCTGATTTTTATTAAAATTGGAGCAGAAAATAAAGAGTTACCATGTTTAACACTCTTAAATTCTGTAATCGGATGCTGGATGCATTATACATGTAAAGAAGACATGGGAGACCTTGCATCTATGGCATCAGTCTTAGATTAATATGTGTAATGTGCCGGACTGGGGAACAGAACTAGTATGTGCCTTTGAAGCCCTAGCTCACAGAATTTTTGCCATGTTACTGGGGAAACTCACAGTGATTCTTCCTTTTTCGGGCTGTGTATGACAGATTGGGAGACTCTCTTTTCCCTTGCCACCTCTTCATGAAGATGAACAGGGCTTGAAACTGCTGCTGGTTTTGTCCTAATTTTTGTTGCATGCTGTTGACACATACAAATATAGGGAAAGGGAAAACGAGGTGAGCATGAAATGAGATGTATTTAAACAGGGTGCCTGCTATTGACACAGAAATAATGGGAAAAGGGAAAATGAGCCAGAAACCTGAGATGTGAAAAACAGTGCATTGCACACATTTCTGTTCAGAAACACTTCTCTTTCCTGGTGACGGTGCTGCTGTGGATGGAGGTTACGAAAGGTCTGTTATTTCGTGTCCTACCACAGCTCTCCTTCTGCCCCATACCCACACTATACTTTGATGGAGCATACCTGGTCTCCAGTGTGTCACTCAGTAGGTATAGCTAAGTACTTATCCGTGCAGAAAAGTTTAATTACTTATACTGTGCAGTTTCAATTAGTTAAAATTTTGGCTGTTTTCTTTCTCTACCCTGGCAGGACATTCTCATTCTTGCTCTAATTTTACACACCTGGGTAAGAGAAGCCAAGCAGCTTTTTGAGCCTTTTTCTCATCTGCTTGAACAAAAGCAACAAATTAATGTATTGCCACCTGCAGCTAATTACTGCTGCTGCCAAATCTGCTACCCGTCTCCCAATAACAAGCAGAAGGAAACATGGTGATCTAAGCTTAGATGGTGGCAGACAAGAAGTTGGTCAGCAGTGCATCCCTGTGACGAGGAAAGCCAAGCACATCCTGGTCTATATGAGCAGGAGTGTAGTGAGCTTGAGAGAAGGGATTCATCCCCTCAGCTCATCACTCGTGAGACCACTTCTGGAGTGCTGTGACCAGCTTTGGGCCTCCCAGCACGAGAGAGACATTGACATACTGGAGCAAGTCCAGCAGAGGCCACAGAGGTTGTCTGGGACTTCATGTCTCTATGCAGTGTTTCGTTGGTATGGCTGTAACACTCTGAAGTTATGCTTTAGTTTGTACCAATATTTATGTGCAGATAAGTCACTAGCATCTAGTACTGCTATTTTGGTATATGGGGCAAGTGCAATTTTGTGTTCTGAAACAGCTGATATTACTAAAAATTATCTCTTGCCCCTTCTGAGCCTTGTTTGTGCATGAGGATCTTTGTTCACTTCAACTTCAAAGACTGTATGTTAAGGGAATGGCTGCTTTTGAGGAGAGCTGTTACACTTGTAACATAGAATAAAGTGGCAGCATTTAACGTAGGGTTTTAAAACTGCTGGTTTACTTATTGTTTGTTCACCCCATTTTAAAATCTATATATAGGTAATAAAACCAAACTTAAAATGTAAAAGCTTGCTATTAGGTATGCAAAGCTGAAAGTAAAAGCTAATAATACTGTTTACTTTTTTTCTTGTTTTATTTTTAGGATTTCTTCTTTTATTCACTAGTATATGATCCTCAACAAAAGACCCTACTCGCTGATAAAGGAGAGATTCGAGTTGGAAACAGATACCAGGCAGATATAACAGACTTACTAAAAGAGGGTAATTTCCATAATTTATTTAAATTGTCGAGAGGTCGTGTCAAATGTGGCCACTCTTATGTGTGCAGTCTGCGTAGGTGTGGGAGGTGGAGGTTTCCGCTGCCAGGTCATGCATACAGTGATGGCCTGTTCTTTGGTGACTGAAGCAGTTGCCCACTGAGCACAATTAGTTACATCTCAAACCAGTCTTTAAGTGGGTGTTTGTCCAAATCATAAAAGTTGTTGAAACAAATTGAATTAATTGGCTGTCTCAGAGCTTGCACTCTTTTTATTAAGAGATTTCAGAATTTCCATGGGAAACACAAATTTCCATCGTGCCTGTAAAGCCTTTTGTGTTTTTAATCAAGCCTTACTTCCCTATAAGAACCCCTCCCAAATTGCTGCCAATTAAATGCTGTCTCCCCTCATCAATTTGGCCATTATTGCTGGGTGCCTTTTCCTCAGAGCGCTCTCTGCATCCCAAGAGCTGGCTGCCAGCCTGGAGTTCTCACCTGCAGAACAGGCAGGAGGAAGAATTTGCCGGCCTGAATGTGTTGTGAGACCTCAGCCTGCCCCCACTGTGTCATGGAGCGGTAGGACCACGAGGACCCTGACCCAAGGAAAAGGGAGTAGTAGCAGTAACTGATAGAATCGTTAAGGTTGGAAAAGACCCGTAAGATCATTGAGTCCAACCGTTAACCTATCACTACCAAGTCCACCATTAAACCATGTCCTCGAGCACCACGTCTACCCGTCTTTTAAATACCTCCAGGGATGGGGACTCAACCACCTCCCT